AACAAAGAGTGAAAAATTTAAGGGGGTCTGAATACTTTCCGTACCCACTGTATATATATATATATGGTAAATAAATGTATATTTAAAATTTAAAATTAATTAAAAATGAAATAACACACACACACACACATATATATATATATATATACATATATTAGGGCTTGCATAGACTAGTCGAGTAGTCGAGTGATCGACTACTTCAACCACTAGTCGGCGCTGTCGGAAACAATCGACTACTCGAGCATGCATTAACCATAATGCATGCACAGAGTTTGCAAGTACGACGTGGATTTTAAGATTACAATATTGCGTGTAACTGTTACTTTCTATGACTTTCTCTGTTGCATGTAAAATTAAAACATGTAATGTAATAATTAGGGGTGTGAAAAACGAATAACGGACAAGGAATAATTCTGCCTGAATATTCGGCTGAGGCTGGCACAGTCTGGTGTTTGCTAGATAACAGATGAGCCAGGGGATCAGCGCAATATTATACACAGACCTTTAAAGTCAAGCAATAGAGTGTGAAGTGAATGAATGTAAACTTTATGAATGAAAAGTAGGATTACAATATTGCGTGTAGCTGTTACTTTCTATGACTTTATTTATGTTGCATGTAAAATTAAAATATGTAACGTAATAATTAGGGGTGTGCCCGAAGCTGAATACCTTATTCGGAATGACACGGATAATGGCTTCAAAAACGAATAACGGACAAGGAATAATTCTGCCTGAATATTCGGCTGAGGCTGGCACAGTCTGGTGTTTGCTAGATAACAGATGAGCCAGGGGATCAGCGCAATATTATACACAGACCTTTAAAGTCAAGCAATAGAGTGTGAAGTGAATGAATGTAAACTTTATGAATGAAAAGAGTGCAAATCAAACACCGCATTGCTGTTGCCTCTCCGTGCATCTCTCAGAAATCAGAGCTTGACAAGAGTAATATCACCAATAATAATACATCATGCACGTTCTATTATTTGTATATATAAAAGGCAATGATTTAAACCTTAGGCTACGATATGATACGAATGAATGGAATAAGCACAGCG